ATATTTATAAAGCTTTTTAGTAAATGGTATGAGGATAAACAATATTATGTCTTGGCTTTTAAAAAATAACATAAATGACTTTTTATCTTCATTTACAAAGGTACTCTCTAAAACCAGTGACAACAGCAGAAACTCTACTAAAGAAAATAGAACCAGTTTATGCTGAAAGCATTTACAAATTAATGTTTTATGTATCATGTTAACATGAAAAATAAAAATTTAATTAAAAATATAACTAAATAAATAATAAAGAAGAAACTTACTTTGTAAGATTGTTTTTGTGACCAAGGAACAATCCTAAAGATCAAAAATGACAACATTAAAAGTATGTTTTACTTTAAAACATGTTTCTTGCCTATTAGTAAATGATTAGAAGTAACGAGTTCAAGTAAAAATAATCATTTCTAATAATCATTTGTAGCAAGAGACACCAACGAGAAAGTAAGCAAAGTTGTCTATCAACACAAAGCCTCACAACAATAACATCACTATAATAACACAATAAAACAAAATAAAATTATACACATAATGACTTACAAGTGAATCAACACCGCACTAGAGGTTGAAACAGAACACAAACACACATATAATGTCTAAAGGGTGAGCCAACACGACACCAGAGGTCGACACAGAACATAAACACATATATATTGTATTATGAGTGAGCCAACATACACATAATCACTTACCTAGCCAATGCTGCATTATTTTTAAACTACCATCATTCTCAGCTCAGTTAACTTGTTGTTTCATGTTGGTTCAAGACACTAACATCTTCCACTCCAGTCAATGAATTGTCAGTACTTATTTGTTAAGTGACTTTAATAACTTGAGATTTATTGCAATGACTTTTTTGTACATAATATTCTAAAAAAGTATAAGCTTGAGGTATATAGTAAATACAAAATTTGTGCTTAACAAGCTATTGAACATTAATTTATTTAAAAATAAAAACAATAAACACATGATTTATAAATGCTTAGTTTTAATGCATTAATATTTATATATACAATTTATTTTTGTTATGCATCAATGCATAACAAAAATAAATTGTAACTATTACATAAACAGTTTTTACAAAAACATTTTAAACAACAAGATAAACTATATTATATAGTTTATCTTGTTGTTTATACAGTACATATAATACTATATAGTATATACTAATTGAATTGTTTAATCTATTTATTCTCCTTTCATTTCACATAACAATTGGTTATGTTGGAGGGATGATTTCACTACATATATTTTTTAGCACCTAACATATTTACTGATGGAACATAGTCAACATGCTTTTCAAAATTTTGAAAAGCATCTAGACTATGTTCTTTTTTTTCCTAAAGGAGAAACATACTTACAATGAATATAAAACTTAATAAGTTCAAGAAAAATTAGTGCTCAAATATTTTGACGATTCAAATACAAAACTTACCAGATACAAAATGTTTTAAGCATACTTAGACATGTTTTGCGACCTAAGTTTGTTTTAGCAAGATGAATCAGTTCTATATAAAGCATAAAGCCACGATTTTCTTCTCTTTGGATCAGGAAACAAAATATAAAAAATCAAGTTCGGATGACTATTACATTAAGTGAACAATCAAAAACTCATTTCACCATTTTCAAGCGCTTTGTTTGCCCCCATACCATAATGGTAGCAGTTTAGTTAGTTAAAGTGACGTCACGTTCGCCGCAAGAATAGATTTTATATATATATATATATATATATATATATATATATATATATATATATATATATATATATATATATATATATATATATATATAAATATATATATATATATATATATATATAATATATATATATATATATATATATATATATATTTATATATATATATATATATATATATATATATATTATATATTAGGCCCCTGCTAAGCCTAATATATTTTGATAATTTATCCTTTTAATAAACGGTTAAATGCATATTTAATTGCTAAAAATTAGAAAAATAGCTCGTTGTCAATGAGAACTTTTTTTATATTCGTTATCTGTAGCCATTTTTAAACCTTTTAAAATATGCAAACTTTACTACGCTTGCGTAGAATAACTTTCCACTTATTTAGTAAGTCTGAACAACCGTGAACGAAAGTAATATATTTCATGTCACAGACGTCGGTTTACAGGGATCATGGTGTAAAATAGAATGAAAAAATAAATAAAAAAATAGTATAAAAAAATATTATAAATAACATTTAAAAAAAATTTAACAATAAACTAAAAGCTAACTTTTATATTTCATTTAAAAACAAATTAAATTACAAATTAATTTAAAAAAATCTCATAAAAATTCCATTAAAAATTTTAACAAAAAATAAAAACTATAAAATCAGTTTGAGCTTATCTGTAGATTTCTTATCGGATTAAGCCAAAACAACACAAATTTTAAAAGTTTAAAATTATAGAATTGATGTCCTAGTTTATTATAAATTTATAAAAACTAATATATATATATACATATATATATATATATATATATATATATATATATATATATATATATATATATATATATATATATATATATATATATATATATATATATATATATAATTTAATCAATTATATATTCTTGCTTTTTCTTTTCTTTATAAACAGGCAAAGGTTTCTTAATAATATAATCAAGATTTTTAACGTTGTTTTTTAAAGTGGTTATTGACTTTAAATCTGAAAATTGAATTATATTGTTAAGCATATAGCCTAATTTAGAAATAGACATTTGTACTATATCTAAATCTTGTTTATCATTTTTTTCTCTTAATTGTTGGTAGTGAATATTTGTTTCTAAATTTGGAAAATATTTCTGAAAAAATTTATCTCTTGTGGGTAATCCTTTAAAATTTTTAAAATCTTTTACGCTATCTTCATTATTTATATATCGCTCTTCATCTAGATACTGAGTTAATATAATAAAATAATTTAAAAATGTTTCAATTTTATTTAAAGTTTCGTTGGTCTGATAAAAACATAATTTGTTAAAAATATCGTCTTTCAATGTTTTTTTAAAATTCTGATAATCTATCGGAGTAAGAAAAGACTTTAAACTTTGTGCAAAATAAATATTGTGCGCTCCTGTAAATGCTTCTTTTTGAAAACTTAAAAATTTCCTGCATAAAAAGCAACACAACTTTGAAATACCTATATCTTCTGAAATATTTCTATTCATCTTTTTATATGTAGATGCTAAAACTTCGGCATGAATAATAAAAGTACTTTTTATGTCTTCTTCGCCTTCTATATATACTTCTTTGTTTAAAAATGATGATAAAAATTTTTTTAATTTGTCTTTGTCGAAAACATAAACGTTACTGATTTCAGTGTTACAATCTATTAATGAAAACAATAAATGAATCTTTTTTAATAAAGGAGTAATAAAGTCTAAATTATTAGATTTATCTGTCGTGTTATATTGCTTAAATAAGTTTTCTCCTGATATGGCATTTGATAGTACGTCTTCAGAAGATGAAACCTTGTAAGTTTGATTCGGATTGCACGCATCAAAAAGCTTTTTAAAAGCAGGATTTTTCATATTTTCTGAATTATGACGCTTGATAAGTTCTGGGACAAGAATTAAAAAAAAAACCAAACCTCTTAACATATTAAAGTTTTCGTTAATTAACATTTTAGATATTTCTTTAAGGTATAACTCATTTGAGCATTTAAAATTATGCTGTTTTTTGTGCATTTTCATACGCTTATTAGAAAAAATATCTGTGTTGTAAAAAACGTACAATATATTATCTTCTGATTTAAATGCAGCAGCACAACTTTTATGTACAAAGCCATAAATCATTGCTATTGCATCATTTCTTCTAATTGCTTGTTGCGATCTATCGCCAAGAACTACGTCCAAGCCTTGACATTCCGCAATATTACTTAAAATATTAATTTCGTGTATAACATCACGATCTGCCATTTTGATACCAAGTTTATACCATTTGTCGTAAGATTTTGCATCGTATGAAACTGTAAATTTATGCCTAAACTATTGTCAATATGCAAGATGGAGTTTCAAACGCATTGAAATGCTATTGGATCATGCTTTTTACCTATTGTTTTACAAACAAACAAAAAACTAGGGATGACTTTTTTACTTCCTTTTTTTTTTACTTATACGAGTAAAACAACCTTTATCAAAAAGTAAATTACATAAGTCATTATAAACGTTTTATGTAAATTTACATTTCCGTATAATTAATTAACTTTTTTGAAGCGACTTTTACTTTATAATGTAAGTTTTTTTACTTTCAAAAGTTAGTTATGTAAAAAAAGATTAGATCAGAAAGTAATTTACTTTTACATGTAAAAGTAAGTCACCTGAAAAAGCTGTTTACTTTTACATTTAAAAGTTAATTCCTTTTGAAAATTACTTTACATAATATAAAAGTTACTCAAACTGTAATTTACCTTTACCTTTAAAAGTAACTAATTAAAAAAAAATTATATTAAAAAGTAACTTACATATAAAAGTAAGTTACATAAAATTAATATGCTAGCAAATGTAAATTAAATTTACAAAAAAAATAATTTTTTTTAAATAGGAATTTTCTATATTAAAAGTAATAACAAATCTTTATTAAAAATAAGTTATATAAAATAAAGTTTAAATTACATAAACTTACATTTTGCATAATTTGTAAAGTAAATTAAAAATAATTTATATAAAGTAAGTTAATAAATTTACTTATATTTTACAATAACTTTGACAGGATCTTGTACAAAAGTAATGCAAAAAAGTAAAATTTTAAGGAATAAGGCAAAGACACATTAGTTTTCCCCAACATTCGATTTGCGCGGTTTTAAATATTTCTTTCATGTAAAGTTTGAAAAAATCAATAATAGGGTTCCGCCTATGATTAAAACTCTCTAGTTCCGGTCATGATAGTTTTAGCTATAATAAACATTCTCTGGAGCAAACCGTCTCAACAATGTTCACTCTCTGGCCAACCGTTCGAAAGGTCTGGACAAAGCTGAAAAAAGGATGTTAGCAGAAGGCGCATATACCCACGGGAGACTCAGAAAGGGTAGTTTATTTGAAAGAAAATTAATTGGCATAAATGTCAGTCCTTTTTACAAGTTTTTGCGTAAATGTATTTATTATTTAAAAACTAAGGAGAGAAAGTTTAAACTTGTCCTGAATTATCGGGGCTATAACACCATGCCTTGAAGAATAAGAAGCCCCGAACATTTTCAGAGGACGCTTTAGTTTTGTAAAGATTTGATGCCACTTTGATACTAAAAAAGTACACCTGCTCAAGAATATCCTTTAACTCTAAAAGTCTTGGTTTAAACAACTACGGTACTTTTATATTTAATTATTTTGAGATTTGAGCAGCCGTGGCGCAGTGGTATTTAATGGAGTAATTAATAAATTTAATTAAGTTATTTAATAGAGTAAAATAATCTAGTTAACCACACCATTAAAACTTTATTATTCATATCTACTTGATTCAAGTAGAAATACAAACACAACCTAGTTTCAACGAAGGCATACAACTTTAAACTTAAAATACTCCAATATATTTTCAAATTTAATTCTACAAGAAAACAATACAAACACTTGGTTGATTTAAATATATACTAATTTATATAATTTTTACTTAAATAAATCAATTCGCCTAATCGAAGGTCACGCCATTATTTGCGTAAACATACTCTTTTAGATATTACCGTGCTGTCCCAGCAAACACAAGACGTCTTTAAGACCATCTCATTTAGGTCTTTAAATGGTCTTGTCTTAGAAAGACGTCTTCAAGACGTTTAATACCCAGTTTTTTCAACCTTTTTTTTGGCGCTTATCTAAATATACATCTTAAAGACATCTTTAAAAAGACAAGAAAGTATTTGGTTGGTTTCGTATGACGTCTTTAGTGCGTCAATCTTTTACTTTCGGTATAATATTTTAAATAGCACTCTTTAAAATGTCTTTAAAACGTCTTCAGTAAGACTGCATTGGCGTGATAATAGTTCGTGTCTCATATAAACTTAATAAGTTTTCATATAAAGTTTAAAAGTTTTCTTTGACTTACGTTTGATTTCTAAACTTCGACTTATATATATTTTTTAACATTATTCATGGAAACTGAAAATTGAATGAAGCGTCGTCGCCTGAATAAAAGTATGTTGGATTTTTATAATGACGCAAGATGAAGTTATCGATATTAGCACAAATATTTTTTTTTTTTTTTTTTTTTTTGTATGTATTTAGGTGCTCCCAGAAGTCCTTATGGTCTTATCATAAAGCACCGCGGGAGAGCATTTAATAGGAAGTTCACGCCTCCTTCCGTACCAATGTCGCTTGTTGGGCTGGAGCTGGCGTCGAACCTCGGACCTCTGGGTTTTTGACTTAATGCTTCTTATGAGCATGAAACACCTTGTGAAGCCCCTGCTAATATTCAAGAAGAAAGAGGAGTAACAAATTTATCTTTGAGTTATAATTATGAGAATTTTAAATGTTTTAATGCACCAACACTATTGAAAACAGAAACATTATCACAAGGTTTGGCAAAGTGGTCGTCAAAAAGTAACATTTCTCAAAGTAATTTAAATGAACTTTTGAATATTCTCAGAAGGCATGGTCATTCAGAATTGCCAAAAGATGGAAGATCCCTTTTAAAATCTTCTAAAGTTTTTACAGTAGTTAGGAAGTGTGGCGGAACTTATGCATATTTTACCATTGCTGATGGCTTAAATTATTTTTTGAATACAAAAAAAGATTCTCAAAATACTGAATTATCTGTTACTGTTAATGTTGATGGACTACCTCTTTTTAAATCTTCTAATCTTCAACTATGGCCAATACTTGGTTTAATAGAGAACTATATTTTTATAATTGCACTTTTCTGTGGAAATGGTAAACCAACCTGCTTAGATGATTTTCTCTACGATTTTATCAAAGAATTTTTATTTTTATCTAATGAAGGTTTATACTACGATAATAAAAAAATTAATGTTAAACTTAAAGCATTCATATGTGATGCACTTTCTCGTTGTTTTCTTAAATGTATACAAGGTCATACAGGATATTACTCTTGTGAACGGTGCCAAATTCAAGGATTATATGAGGATCATAGAGTGGTTTTTATTGATGACAACCTATCAACTCCAAGATCAACTGAGGAGTTTAATACCTTTTTGTACACTACACATCAGATATCTCTTACTCCTTTAGCTCAACTTCAAATAAAAAAAATATATGCTAATCTATTAAGCTTACGTGGTATGATGCCACCTGAATTCTGAAAAACCACTGTGTCTTTTTGAGTTAGATCGTTGCAAAGCAACAGAGTTCCGGCAATTTATTTTATACACTGGTCCCTTAGTTTTAAAGGGTGTTGTTAGCAAAGAAATTTATAACCACGTTCTAACATTGCATGTTGCGATGGTGATTCTCTTAAATGAAGAAAATCAAGTTAGAAATCATTATCTTGAATTTGCTAAAAAACTAATAAATTATTTTGTTACTAATTCAAAACATTTAAATACAAAATCATTCTGTGTTTATAATGTTCACTGTTTACTTCATATTTGTGATGATGTTGTTAGATTTGATTGTTCACTAAATACAATATCTTGTTTTCCCTTTGAAAATTATATGCACAACTGAAGAATATATGCAGACATTGAAGAAAGCAGTGAAAAATTTAAAGAGTCCGGTTGTTCAAATTACAAAACAGTATCAAAATTTACAATATTTATTTAATACAAAATCTCAAAAACTAAATATTTCAGTGAAGCTGAAAAATTCATGCTTTTATCTAGAAGAAAATCAATTTTGTTTTATTGATGAGAAATTACCATCTGGATTTTTTAAATGTAGAGTATTTAAACTTAATTTACAAAGTGATTTATATACACAACCAATTCTGTCTAAAACCTTTAAAAATTTATTGATACCAAAGATTAATGAAATAAAAGTAAAAGTGGTTGTGTTAGGAGTTGAAAGTCACTGCCGAAAGGTTGTTGCTCTACCTTGGAAAGAAGGTCTTGCGTGCTTTCCTTTGTTGCATGAAATAGAACATTAATGAATCATATTTGTTTGATTGAAACCTTTTTAAATAAAATTTTTTGTTTATTTATACTTTACATTTATTATTTATTAATTTGCATCTTACCTCAAATGGTTATAAGTGAATCTTATCTTGTTAATTATATATATATATATATATATATATATATATATATATATATATATATATATATATATATATATATATATATATAATTATAATAATATAATAAATAATAATTATATATATAATAAATAATATATTATATACATAATATATTATATATATATAATGTATTATAATATATTATATATATATAATTATAATAATATAATAAATAATAATTATATATATAATAAATAATATATTATATACATAATATATTATATATATATATATATATATATATATATATATATATAACATATTATATATATAATGTATTATAATATATTATATATATATATATATATATATATATATATATATTTTTATAAAGTCTAATTTTTAACTCTTATTTTCTGATTTTTCCTCTTTTTTTGTTTGCTTGTTAATTACATGTTATATTTTTTAATATTTGATATTTTTAAATAAAAATAGCATTTTTTATTGAGATTGTAACTTTATTTAACCCTTTACAGGTCAGCATTAGAAAAAATGGTTGAAAAAATTTTATTTTTATTTTAAAGGATCTATTTGGTGTATGGAGTAATAATCAATAGTTTTTTTTTTGCTGACATAAGCAGTTTTTGAGATATTTTTTGTTGCCATATGGCAACTTTGACCGGTTAGGGTATAAAATCAAATTATTACTTTTAGTTAGTAAACAAAAATAATCAGTCTTCTTGAAAAAATAAGTCATAATTAGTTTTCTTCAAAAGTTCCTACTTTGTATGAAACTGATAAAAACAATTTCTTTCATTGCTTAAACATAAAAAAACTTTGCATTTTAGGCAAGACATACGAACGGTTTTCTTGCACAATCGACATTTGTTTTTGTTAATTTGAGGATTTGGCCAGTGTCCAAACTCATCATTTCGTATATCATTTTGGGGTGTTGGTACCTGAACTTTGCGACCTCGTGTTTCGGTTAAATCAGAATTAGTTGATAATTTTTTTATCGGTCGGCCAATAGGTCTGTCAACTCGTTTACTTTTCATTATTAAAGCATTAGCAATTTGACTGCTAAATTGAAGGAGGTTAAGTTGGCTACGCTGAGAAATATTCAACTGGTTACCATGTCTTCTATACAGCAGCCAAGCATTTATCTTACATATATCCATGCAATGAACAAGCACATGTAAGAACCATCTTTTTGTTTTCATGGGTATTCGATATAAGGTAATAAGCATGTCAGACAAGTCTACACCACCCATTCCAGTATTGTATTCTTTTACAACTTGCGGGCAAGGTACTTGAATATGTTTCCTATTTTTTTGATCCCATTGTTTAACATTACCAGATGTATTAGCTGAACAATATGTTGAGGTCATATGAACACATTTGTTATCAAACCATCTTAGAAGCAACAGACCAGAGTTTGCATCAACCTTATATGAAAAAGACCCCCAACCTTGTTTTTTTAAATCTTTCTCAGAAAGCAGTGGACACTTTGCTATTCGATTTGTACGAATAGTTGCTGTTGTCAGTATGCCTATTTTTTTTAGTTTGAGACAAAGAGAAAGAGTACAGAACCAGTTGTCAAAACACAACTTAAAGTTTAAATTTTTTGGTATTCGTTCAGCCAATCTTAAAACAACATTCTCTGCAGAACAATCTTCTCTTCCGCTGCTTTTTGCGCCACAATACAAAAAAAAATCATAGATGATTCCACTTGAGCCAGATCGAACAAACATTTTAAACCCCCATTTGTGAGGCTTTTTCAGATTATATTGGCGAATACCACTATGTTTTGTTTTCGCAGGTATTATTTGCTCATCGATAGAATGCACTGGTTCTGGTTCTATTTTGTGACAATTATCCCGCACCAGCTCTAATATAGGTCTAATTTTGAAAAGTTTATCATTTTTATTATCTGCTTCATCTTTTTTTGAATTGTCAACTACATGAATATATCTTCTTAACGCTTTATACCTATTAATTGGCATAACATCAGCAATTGTATTAATTCTGATTTCATTCATCCAGTACATAGGGTAGCTTGGCAGCTTTAAATTACCCATTAACATTTGCATTCCCATAAATTGATCCATTTCATTAACATTTGTGATTATTGACTTACCGGAAAGTTGGGTACTATAAAGATTTGTTTGTTCTACAATCAGTTCTGTTATTTCTTTTGTCCAGAACTGGGAATAATAATCAAGAGGTGTAAGTTCATTAAAATTATCCGGGGCTAATGTGAAATTTTCTCCCGAATCGATTAATAGCGGTTCAGTAGATCGCCACCGAAACTCGTGTGGTTTTTTTTCTTTTTCTTACTGACTCAAAATTTGATATATATTTTGATCTTCACCTCCACAGATTTCTTCGTTATCAGTTATCTCTTCTTCTTCATCACAATTAATTTTAGGTTGACCAACTTCGTTTTCATCATCCGAGGATTAAGAAAGTTCTGATAATTCTGAATCAGAACCAGGCTCAAGGACAAAGTTTACAACATCCTGAATTGTGTATCGTGTTTTTTGATAGCGTTGTCTTTCCATCATAACAATTTTAGTGGTTAATTTCTTTTTCTTTTTAAATTATTTATACTCTAAAAATATTAAATTATCTACTCGCACTACATATATGTATATATAAACATATATATATATATATATATATATATATATATATATATATATATATATATATATATATATATATATATATATATATATATACATATATATATATATATACATATATATATATATATATATATATATATATATATATATATATATATATATATATATATATATATATATATATATATATATATATATATATATATATAAAACTTCACTTATAAAAGAAAACTTTGGAAACATAAGAATTAAAAATTTTAATATCTACTTGGGAGATATAAAGTAGCGAGATATCTAAAATAAGACTTTATTCAAAATATGTCCATTAAAGGACACAGTTGCCGTATGGCAACAAAATATTTGTTATGAAGTAACAAATCATGCAGTCAAAGCTTATACAAAACAAATGATGTAAAAATACAGAACAACTTCTGGTAATTAACATTCATTACAAATATAATAATAAACAAAGTGTTTTGACACATCTTGATGGCCTGAAACTGATACATATTTTATTCCAAAAAATGTAGTAACAATCAAGGCAATGATTCTCATACAAAAATGCCGCTAAACTGCAATCTTTGTTTACTATTTGCATTAGCATAGTCTAAATACCGTATTAAACCAAGAAAATCCGGGCCATATAAAAAATTATACGTTTTAAGTAACATTAAACTATTTGTTGCCATACGGCAACCCTGACCTGTAAAGGGTTAAAAATCTATGTTAATGCAATTATTGAAATATTTTTTAAATACTCTTTAAATTAAAATCAGTAAATAAAAATAATAAAAAATGATAACGTGAAACGTTAAAATTAAAAATTGTTAAAGATAATATTTTTTTAATATATTATCTTTAACAATTTTTAAATATTGTTTCTATTTTATTGCCTAAACAAATTTAAAAACTGTACAGACAGACAGTTATTTTAATATCTTTTTTTGTTTGGTTTTTGTATAATTTTTGAAAAAACTAAATGCTCTTCCTTATTATTATATACATCGTTAAATACCTAGTTTTTTTTTTAAATATTTTTTCATTCCTTTATAAATTGTTTAAATTAAAGTTTGTTATAGCAACTTTTTTTTATTACTCCAAGTTATAGTAAGAATGTTTTGTATTAGGTTTTTGTTTATAATTGTAACAATATCATTCATTTTTCCATTATGATTTAGTTTTCGACCATCATGATCTGGACATTTTGTTATTTTGGTTTTGATTTTTTTTTATTTAGGTTAAACAACTGAGTTTTTTAGGTGCAGAAGATTATAAACAGCTGACAAGATTGGTTATGAATAGTTTTTCTAATTATATTTTTATATGAGCAATAATATTTTTTAATTTTCTGTTGTAAATATATATTTTAAGTATAGTAGTTATTGCAACCAATAATTACATTGGGATGGTAAATTGCTTATTTTTCATAAATTGTATTACTTATTCCTTATGTTATATAGATTATTTACAAATACCCTATTGGCACAGTTTAATTTGAAAGGTTCTGGTGGAAAAATTGGTTTATTATCAACGAGGCTATATGATGTAATAGAAGGTAATAAAAAATAGTTTTAATATAATAAAAATTTTTATCATTTAGCATTTGGTTAAAAATGTGTGTTAAGTTAAAATTATTTTTAAGATTTTTGATAGTCAAAATTTTTTATTTTTTTCCAGTTATTTACCTCCCCAAAGCCCGAGGGGGTCACTACAGTCGAGGAGGCTACTAATTTTTTTTATTTTTTTTTTATTTTTATTGTAAATCGTGGTACAACCCTCTCTCAACTCTTTAACTCCAAAACACGAACCTTGACAAGCAAGGCCGCTGCACGGAGAAATTAAGTTGAGCGCGGTACTTCCAGAGATGCGGTGGGAGTCGAACTTCGAACCTCTTGCATACAGAGCGAGCGCTCTTACCACTACACCACTACCGCATAATTTATGTGGCAAGTTTACATTTTACTATTTGGCAAGTATTTGTAAATTTTAATTTATTTTTAGAAGTTGTAACAAGAAGGTTTGGAAAAGTTTTCAAATTCTGATATAAGACAGCAAATCAGAAGATATTGTAAAAATGCTCCATCACGGAAAAATAGAAACTAAAATTTAATTTTTATTGTATATATTATATGTTATATACATTGTTATATAGAAAGATACTTTATTAAAATCCATCTAATTGTATTATATGTCTCTTTTAACTTATTTTTTTTAAATTTTATTAATTAATTTTTTTTTAATTTATTTTTCCTCTATATTTATGTTTCTAATAAATGCGGCATTAATTTTATCTAAACTAAACACCTAAAAGTCTTCTAAAATAAGACTTCTTGAGTAAAACGTTTTTAAAGCGCTTGGATAAGACGTTTTTATTCTGTCTAGAGTAAGATGACTTTAAACTATCTTGAGTAAGATATCTTTTTGACGGACAACCTAGACCTTTTTAAGACATCTTTAAGACGTCTTGAATAAAACGCCTTTAGACCGTTTGATTAAGACGTTTTAAATCGGTCTTTAGTAAGACGCTTTTAATCAATCTTGAGTAAAACGTCTTTTCGACGGACAACGTAGACCTTTTTAAGTTCTCTTTAAGACATCTTTTTTAATCTTAAAAAGACGTTTTTAAGACAGCTAAAACTTTTTGTTTGCTGGGGTACGTTTAAAAAAGTTTTTTTATCACGTGAAAAAAACGTTTTAAAAACGTTCATAAGCTAACTGAGAAATTTCGTAAGTTAATAAAAAAAAAAAAAACCGTTTAAATTAACATTAAAAAAAACGTTTGCAAAAAAACGTTTTAAAAACGATTGTATTGGATCTTTTAACGTCCGACCGTAAATTGAACGGAATTAAAACGTTTTAAAAACGTCCTGTGCTTACTGGGGCAAGGTTTAGTATATCTCATATTTAAGATATATTTAAAGATTTTTTTTTGTTTTTTTGTTTAGAAAAGTTATTGTTCCAGAGAAACAGAAATTGGGCACCTTGGTCACGTAAGCCTGGATACAAAATACCCTAAACATTTACCATCTCTACTCTAAATGTGAGGGCAACAAATTAGTAATGATTTTTTTAAAAGGTATAATTTTGTAAAGTTTACACCTTCGCCTAATGAGGTGGTTCTACAAATCTTTTTCTAAACATTCTCATGTGATAAGCAAAATCAAACTAATGTTTGGCACTTAAGTATGTTTTTATTTATACCACAATAGAGCATAATATTAAAGATAATTTAAGGTATAAGACCCCTCAAAAAAAAAATTATTAAAAAAAGTTTTTTAACAAAAAAACAATTTTATCTTGAGAAACAACTAGATAAAAGGATTTAAAAAAATACAAAATAAATTTATTAATTGCCATGGCTACCAAGCAAAATGGCCGACATTTAAAAATATTTAAGTTACCCCGGCCAAGCTCAGTAACTGAAAGCATGTAGGTTATGAATTTTTGGCATATGGTTAAATGGTTAATAACATATTGATCTACAAACTGAACTAAAATTATTTAAAAAAAATTAGTACTTGACCTATAATGAAATTTTCAAAATGGCGTACTAAAAATATGATTTTTTTGTAACTTTAAACTTCTATAAATCAAAAACTCTTGATTGCATTAAAAAACTTTTAGTTCCAATTGTACAACCAGATGCAATAAACATTTGGTGAAAATTTCATACAAATACGGTTAATGAGATAGGATGGCCGGGAGGTCAAAAATTTACATTTTGAGAAAAACTCGTTTGAATATTATATTCATAAATTTTCATAATATTTTCTCTCGTATACTCAATTGAAAAACTTTTATTTATATGAACATGAACCAGGGCCATAAAGACATCCTTCTTGATCATTCTCTGCATCATCCTTTTTTTTTTTGCATCCACGAATAACTTTTCGTCGCTTTTTAGATGTAATCCGATTTTGATATTCTGCAAAAATTAAGCGCTTTTTGTTCATGGTTGAACAGCCTTGGAGAGTATAAATACCAGGAATCATATTCAACTTTTCAAACAAAAGTATGCTTGCTTTTCTTCCAATATTAAAATTTGAAACAGCATCATAAACTCCTAATTCCAACTGCGTTAATGAAACATACTTTGTTTTAGGTATGCGCTGCCATATCATTCCATTAAAACTTTCATTCTGGTTTTGGGTTTTACCATGAAGGCATTTTTTTAAGAGTTCTTCTTGAGATAAATCTATATATATAGGCTTTAGATGACTGACAACTGAGAGTGGAAGACCAGCACCTGGCTTGTAGGTAGACGTTAAATTAGCTTTATCCTGTTTATAACGACACCAACTATTGATGCCATCCGGGCAATGAGCATGCCAATTATTTTCAGCTGATGATGCAACATGAAACAATGTTGCAAGTATGGCCTTTTTCATACCTTCTAAATCATTGGCTTTTTGCCTAACAGCAATTCCATAGTAGTTTTGTAGCATAGATTATCCTGACCA